GGTCTGTATGTGGGATCCGAACCCTCGGACGGGAGCGCCGCCGCGCTTCCCAAGCGGCGCACTATCCAGTGTGCCACCAGGCCGGCCCATGATATCTTTAAAAAAAAAAAAAAAAAAGGTGGTTCGCATAGAAGTAGAGAGTAGAATAATGGTTACGAGGGGGGGGGGGGGGGGGGGACAGGGGGAGGAGGCACTTAGAGAGGCAGAAGGGAGGGGCCGATTAAGACTTGTTTTCCCGGAGCATGGCCTGCTTAGCATTCAGCAGTTTTTCTTAAAGGGAAGCAAAGCTTGAGATAGAATGAAGGGGGTGGTATGTGTGCGGGTAGGTAGGCAGGTGCAGAGACAGGCAGATATGATCTGATAAGCTACTGCGTAATTTACTTTTTCTTTTTCATTTCTTAAAACGCATTGCATCTTCACAATTCCCTGGGGTGATTAATCTTTCTGCCCCTAGCAAAGGAGGGAGACAAGAGACCACTCAGAAAGGGAGAGTAAAGAGGGAAAAGATAAAGATGATCCTGGATGTGCTGTTGTCTTTACACTGTGGAGAGCTGACAGAGCCCCTGTACCCTCAGCCAGGCTGTTGCCGCTCTGCCTGTCACGCCAGCTTCAGTGTATTACCGCAAGCTGTGGGAGCGAAGGGTGGCCTGGGCCCCTCGGGTCAACCATAAAATATGCAGCTTTTTCCCCGGTGTGTTAGTCAGGAACTGTAGGTTCCAAGTCTCCTCTGCCCGTGGAGAGTTCCAGGGCTCCATGTTGCTGTTCTTATCAGCAGAGCATCAGGGGCCTCATTGAGAAGACAGCTGCCGTGGTCCGTCTCTAATGTCTGTAATGTGGGTGGTCTGATGTGTGCCCCTCCCTGACCTGAAGAGAGGAGATTGGCCGGGGGCTGACCAATCCCTGTGGCCACAGCTCCCCCCCCCCATCACAGACAGGCCCGTGCTCCTTTTCCAGTGTGCATCCTGGGGCTCACCCAGTGCCCATCAGACAACCAGGAAAATATGTCCAGACCTGTGATACTTAGAACTCTGCCGTCAGATTCTGATGGAGTGTCCTTGAATATGCAGTCAGCGCCCCAGTTTTAATGACTAGAGGTCAGGATGTGGGGCATTTGGATGGCATGTTAACAGGAAAAGGAGGGGCTGATTGCCCCCAAAGAAAATCTCATGGCACTGTCCACAGGAGGCAAAACTCTTCACTCAGTTCCTTACCCTAGATTTTATTTTTTTCTCTTTCATCAAAATAAATCAGTGAAAGTAACTGTTGGTTCTCTCCAAAAAGAATTATTCTAACCCTTGTTTGAGTAGCTGAAAAGATTTATATATAACTGCTTTATACATAGCCGTAGACAACAGATCAAATCAAAAGAGAAACGTGGAAAGCCACGTGTGGACTGGAAAGGGCCCCTCCCTCAGCAGGTGGCCACTGGGCGTCATCTGGCCTGGGAGCTCAGCCTTGGGGCACCATCATGGTGGCTCATCTGCATCTGTCTTTCTTAGTGGTAGCACACACTGGGATGTTTTTATTTTATCAAGAGTAGCATAGTAAAGGAATTCTCCACTCTTAAGTTCAGAAAAGACAGGGTTCTGGATGCAGACACACCCTACCTGCCTGGTGGCTGTCACCTGGCA